CATCAGAGAAACACAAAAAGAAATCACAATGAGATACTATTTCAAACCATCCAGAATGAGGGAAAAAAAATATATATATATATGAAATAAAATGTTCACATTGATGTGGCATAGCTAGAACCCTCATTCATTACCAGTAGTTCATAAAATGCAACCTTTTGGAAAAATTGGTGGGTTTTCATAAAGTTAAATTGTACCTAGCCTTATGACCCAGAAATTTCACCCCTGTTTTTTTAAATAAAGGAAATAAATAGACTCAGACAAAAATATTCATGGCAGCTTTATTCATAATAATTTGAGGCAGAGATACTGGGGATTGAACTCAGGGACACTCAACCACTGAGCCACATCCCCAGCCTTATTTTGTATTTTACTGAGAGACAGGGTCTCACTGAGTTGCTTAGCGCCTCACTTTTATTAAAGCTGGCTTTAAACTTGAGATCTTCCTGTCAGCCGCCCCAGCCACTCAGATTATAGGAATGTACTACCACACCAGGCTATTCATAATAATTTAAAATTAGAAATCATCCAAATGTCCATTAACAATTATATGGATAAATACACCATAATATATACAGTGGAAAACTACTCAACAATTAAAAAAAAAGAATAAACTACATACATACTCAGCATGAATCAATCTCAAAAACATTATTTTAAGCAAGAAAGGAAAGAAAGTCAGCCACAAAACAATACATGGTGTGTCAATATAGCCCAGGAATAGACAAAACTGGTCTATAGTGACAGAAACCAGAAGAAAATGTTTTTGCGGTGTATCAGGGCAAACTGAGAAGAGGCATGATAGGATTTTCCAGGATGTTCTACATCTTGTCTTGGTTTGTGGTTATATAGAAGTACAATTGTGAGATTTTTATATCAATTCTAATTCTATACTCCAGCCTTAAACAATTAGAAAATAAAACCTAAAACATGATGCTTCTACAATGCATTCAATAAATTCAAGTAAAAGATATCCAACCCCTCTACACAGAAAACTAAAGACATTTTTTATATTAAGATTTTAAAAGATCTGAATAAATGAAAATATCAAGATATTCTTGAATAAGATCAAAGGACTTACACTCCTAGACATTGACTCATTTAAAGTGCAGTGATTCTGAACTAAGGTATTGGTGTCAAGATATACAAACTAACAGAATGAAATACAGTGTCCAGAAACAGACATATGAAGACACTTGATTTATGATAAGATGACTTTAGAGCAAAGGGAAAAGAGTGTTCTTTCCAATAAATTGTATTGGTTCACATGAATGTTGATATGGGGGAAACCAACATTGGCTCTTATCTCATGATATATGCTTTAAAGCAATTCCTGATGAACTGTTGAACTAAATGCAATGGAAAAAAATCAGTAAAGCTTCTGGAAGGTAACATAATATATTCATACTCTGTAGTTGACAAAGATATCTTTTTTTTTTCCTTTAGACATGGTCTCAGTATGGTGCCCAGGCTCATCTCAAACTTCTGGGCTCAGCATAATATTCTCCAGCCCTATATATGAGTAATATGGATTGAAATGCATTCCACTGTCGTGTATAACAAATTAGAAAAAATAAATTAATTTTTTAAAAATCCTGAGCTCAAGTGATCCTCCAAGCCTCAGCCTCCCAAGTAACTAAGACTTCAAGCATATGCCAGGATGCCCAGCAACAAAGATATCTGAAATAGTACACAGAAAGCATTACCTACAGGGGGAAAAAAATTGTGAAACTAGACTGCACTGATACTTTAAAATTCTGTTCTTCAAAAGACACCACACTAAGTGGGAGTGAAATGCACACACACCACAAGGTAGGAGAATGTATTCCATTACATCTAATGGGCTGTATTTGTATTCAGAATATCCCTACAAATCAAGAAAAAGACAATCAATCTAACAGAAAATATTCAAGAAACAAAGATACTTCACAGAAAAGAAAATATGAATGGCCAATAAATATGAAAACATGTTCAACTTCATTAGTTATCACAGAAAAGCAAATTAATACTACAAAGTGAATAACCACAAGTAACAAAATCCATTGGCTACAAATTTAAGACAGACAAGCCACTGCTGATGAGAATATAAACAGGCATACTACTTTGGGAAACTGTTTACTATCTTCTAAAGCTGAATGCACCCAACTGGCCCACCCATAGGTGTACATCCACCAGACCACACACCAAAGACACAAAACAGCCAACAACTGGGAACAGACGGAATATCCATCAACAGAGAACTAAAATGTCATATACTAAAGGTATCATAGCAATGAAAATGAACAAGCTGTGTCCACCTACAGCAGCAAAGATGATGTGGAGGAAAAATAGCTAGATGTCTACACACACTGCAGGGGTTCCCCCCTACAGAAGGTTCAGAAACAGGCAAAACTCAGGAATTGTTCTTTTGATGGAAGAACTGGGTAGTGAATAAAAAAGACCCAAGAGGTGCCTCTGGAGGCTAGTGATGTTCTGCTTCTTGATCTTGGAAAGGTTCCACAGTTGATCAGCTTTGTCAAAACTCACTGGGCATACCCAGCTTATTATATTCCATCCACATGAACCTGCTCTCTCAGTTTTAAAACACTAAGCTTGCTGCCATCTCAGGACCACACAGGCTCCCTGCATGGAACACAATTCAGATTTTGACAGGACTTGCTCTTTCTTGCCTTTCGGTCTCAGTATTCCTCCATGCTTTCCAAGAGCTCTCTACTCCTGTGTGCCACCCCTCCCCCAATTCTGTCACCTCTTCAGAGCACTTACCACCAGCCATCACCCTGCATACAAGACACTTTTGCTTACTCCATGTTCCTTCCATTAGAAAAGCATGCACCCTAGAGCAAGAACCCTGGCTGCCTTGTTCACTCTCCCTTATCTGGGAGAAAGCATTGCCCAACTCAGGGTATGCACACAACTACCATCTGCTGGACGGAAGAATGCCACTCACACACTAAACAGTGCCTGGGATATGTCAAGACACAGGCGTTGGGGGAGGCAGCTATGAGAGGAGGAAAGAATAAAAGAGTAAAAATCAAGCTCAAATATTTAGCAGAGTAGGCCAGAGACCAGAGCCCTGAGGGAAGAGATATAACAATGCCTGGGGGAGAGCCCATTAGCCCCACAGGCACTTTTCCATGCAAGTTCTGTAAGAAACATTGCAAAATATAAAAGATATAAAAGATACATTGCCTAAGACAAAAAGATGTCTGCCTTCAGGAGGCTCTACCCTAGGGATTGCAATGGCTTTTTTTTCATATGGGAGTTAGACAAGAGAATCATTCCTGCACCTCAGTTTTCACAAATACTTGGAAAACTATAGTATGACTCACAACCTAGGAAACTTCCAGAGTTGGACAGCTTATGTACTCACAAAGGAATAAACCTTTCTTCAACCTAGAGAGCCTGTGTCTTATAAACCCAAATTTCTTCTGCTATCACCTTGTGATGTGGCAGAGCAGAGGCACAATAGGGAGGTGTGAAGATGTTCACAGGCTGTGCTATCTGACACCTGAAAACCAGGTACCCTGGGCCAGGGGCATTCTCCACTGCATCTCCCTGCCTGGTGAGCTGCACAGTGCGGGGGGCCTGGTGCAAGTGTTCTACCGACTGAATGAACCTTCTTCCAACCTATAATTTTAAGATGGATTAAATGGCTCAAAGAACTAGGCTGAGGAGTATTTTGGATTTTGTTTTTTAACCCTAAGGCCATTTATTCAACTTTGGTAAGTAACTAGTAGAATGAGCACTTTAAGATTCATTCTACAAAGCGCCACACTGTAGGAGCATAGAATGCACAAGAGAGGAAACAGAAGAAGTCACTGGCCAAGAAATACGATCAAGAACAAAGCACTTTAACAATAGAATTATTTTATTTGTACCCCACAGGTAAAACCCTTGAAGTTTCTGTCTTCTTGCACATTTTTTCTTAAAAAGTTATTTACCCTTTTGCCTTGCTCTCAAGCTAAGGTATAACTGCTCATTTTTTAAGATTTTATTTTTTTTCTTATAAGTTATTCCCTATAGTACTGCCAACTGAAGTCATTCCTCAGCAGGCTCAAATCTTCTTAATCACTTCAGACACTAAGAGCTTATTTACAGCACCTTTCTATGAAATTCATGATCATTTGTTTCTCACCAACCTCAAATGATTTAAATCAGAAAGGAATAATTACATGGAAAAGAATGCCATTCCCAACATAAAAGAAAACAAAATGCAGTTTCAGTATGTCATTAACTGATAACATCTTACAGCTGGACCTAGGTCAACTAGCACTAATTTCATCTACTCACTGTATTAATGGGTAAATTGATGGTAACCCGTAGCATTTTAAGGAGAAGCCAGGTGGTCCAGAAAGGGTTGTCCCCTTACAGGTTAAATCTTTCTACCCAGTAGGCTGAGGTTGCACCAAAAGTTAACAAATGAATATGTGAATGAATAAACGTAAAATTTATAAGTATTCGTCTAAATGATGGTCATAAAGCTGGTAAGTAGCGGGGCCAGGGCTAAAACCCAGTTCTCCGTTTTCTTTCCTTGGTAACTTCTTGGGTGTATTCAGAAGATGCGGCCTCATCAGCAGTTCAGTTAGTTGTCAGGAGAGCAGCAAACTTAATGAAATCACTGACTGACCTTAGTTGTGTTTTTTTACTTCATTCTGCTTTTAGACATGCAAACAAAAGAGAAGAATGAAAAGTGCCAAGTGGGATGACATAAGAAAATTGCACTGTAGCCAGATCACACATAGAAAAATGACAGAAAAGGGGTAGGCAGAGATGGCTCTGTGATTTTTTTCTCACTCTCACCTGATCTAAGAGATATAAAAGGTACAAAGTGAGAATGCATCAGCTGTCAAATCAACAATATTCTATTAGAGGCACAGACTTCTCTAACAATGCAGCCGTTTTATAACTGTGAGCTTGACACTGTCCAGAACCTGGGGAAGAAGAAGTAGAAAGGGTCAGGAACAAGGATGTACCATGAAAACACAGACGGGTACACTTACTCTTCCAGGAAGTGCTGCTGGGGCCCAATAATGGAACCTGGCCGGCAAATTCTTATCCAAGCGATGATTTCAGCGTGTGTAAACCTGTAGTGCTTCATTACATAACAGGCTATCAATGTCCCTGTCCTTCCAAGGCCAGCTGTAAGAGAGGAACACAGATGAAATACAAAGTACAGCGAATGCATCCACATAGACACTGAAATTAAACCCCTATCAGAAACCACACTGGCCCCAAGTGTAAATGATAACATTAGCAGCTGATACACATGCAAATTTGCTACCATGTAGAAATCTGTATTTCTCTCTATCCAGTGGAAAGGGCAAAGTGAAAATGTCACATGGGGGTGGTGGAGAAAGTGATGAAAGCAAAAGGATCTGGCAGCCAGGGACCAGCTGGAACAGGAAGGGACAGAGACAGGGGCCAGAGAGACAAGATTGGAAGGGTGGGGCAGAAGAGAAGCGTGCTTGAGAGGGGCTGGGATGTGGCAATAAGGATGAAGAGCTGAATCAGAATTCTGATTGGGTCACAAGGAAAAGTTAAAAGTGACTGATGTTTCTGATCTAGGAAACTGGTACAATGTTGGTTTCATCCATGAAAACCTTTAGTTAGAAAAAGGAAATAGGGAAAAGTTAATGGCTGTTGCTGATGTTTAGAAATCTTCAGGGAGTGGGGGTTGCTTATTTATTTGTTTGATTTTGAGGAATCCTTTTGACTGTTTCCCTTGATCAAACTGTAGACTCTTCTCCAATCTTCCCCAGTAGTTTGAGAAATTCACAGTGTTTCAGCAAATCTTAGACACCACCATACCATCTTCACACCATTATTTAAGTTTGACCAATAAAACATGAAACCACGACATGCTATCAATTTAAAACTCCATCCTAATTTCAGAAATGTTAAGGTGTGAAAAAGTGTGTCTCTAAATCAGCATTTCATGACTTTTTTACATGTACTGTTCCTCCAGAAGCCTCTTTACATTTTGTTTTGTTTTTTTCCTTATCTTTCCCCATAAAATTGTACTACCACACAGGTACACTACATATCTATATATGTATTATGTATACATCTGTGCTTTATACAGAAAAAGGTTTTTCACCCACCCCAAAAAGCAGTTTTGCCTTGTAATGCCTGGGTCGAGAATACACATCAAGAGTGAAAATAAAATGGCATCCAAGTTCATGTCTATAGATGTCTGGAAGTCCCTTCCTTTAAAAAAAAAAATATTAAAGGATATATACACCGTTTTATTAGATGAAGTGTAACACATCCTGTTTTCAACTGAAGTGCCTTTTGCCCCAGATCAAACATCAACATTCCTCAGAAAAAATTAAAGTGTGATTGTGGTCTCCAGGGGCTCTTTCTTTAATAGTAAGAGGTAAGAGTCATTTGCCTTTCCTTCTGCTTCACCCGGATGGAGCCCATACCTGATAATTCCCCAGATATCAGACAAGACTACAATTGACTGGGCAACTGCTCAGATAAAACACAGCTGAATGTCCTGGAGCAGCAGCAGGGGGTCAGCACTAGTTGCCAGCGTCATCATGCCAGGTCTCTGCCTGGAGAGCGGTGGCCTCTTCATGGAGACACACTCTCTGACTGTGCCCTGCTTTGTGCAAGGAGCTGCCTGATGCCCTCAGTTAGGCTCCTAGTCCTACTCACAATCAAAAAGGTGGTACAAAGAATTTTCAAATTTCTCTGAAACTAAAGTTGCTTCCCCCTTTTAAAAAGAGTCTATAATTTAGATCTATAAAAAGAACCTACTTAGCACTCAATAGTTGGGAGCTCTTACCACAAGTGAACAGAATAGGAACACTTCACTAAGTTTCTATAAAAACTTTTAACAAAAATTTTAAAGCGTTCATAATTAAAGGGCTCCCTGGCACAGCATGACAAGAGGTTGAAAGTGTTCTATTTATACCAAAGTCAAACTCCAATTGCTTTATAGTTCCAGCCATTTTCTGAAATCCCTATAGAACATCAAGAATCACATACTAGAATATTACAATGTTGCTGTATGTTCGATGATTATTTGTGCTAGAAAATTTGAAGAATTCATAGCATTCCTTTCATCATTCCTTTCATCAAAGTGAACTGCAGATATTGAGTCGCGGTAAAGTTTCACACATTCCCAGCAAATTCGTTTCTAGTTTGTCTCTGTATACAAGGCTTATATGTTGAGGCATAACATTTTCATTCCCCTTCTAGTAGTACCAAAGTTCATTTGACATAAGAGTCTCTCTCCCTTCTTCCTTTTAGTTCAATTAAAATACTGAGTGCTGCTTGAATTCCCAAAAAATTAAGCTGACTTAATTAGGGCAGATGTCAAAATAATTAACAGTCCTATAGTAGATAAGTGTGCTATTAAAAGCAATACAGTTGTAATTAAACTGAAAATGTAATCCTTATAAAAGTATTCTTCATGTGTGTACAAGTAGACGTAAATGAAATAACACTCTCAAAAAGATGTCACCAGTATAACCTTGACTTTCTGTATAAGAACTCACCTCAATGCTAAAAGTTTCACATTTTTAAAAATATTTTTAGTTGTAGATGACACAATATATTTATTTTTTATTTTTTTTTTAGTTGTAGATGGACACAATACCTTAATTTTTTTATTTTTATGTGGGGCTGAGGATGAAACCCAGTGCCTTCCACATTCGAGGCAAACACTCAGCCACTGAGCTACAACCCCAGCCCTCAATATCTTTATTTTAATTATTTATTTTTATGTGGTGCTGAGGATCAAACCCAGCACCTCACACATGCCAGGCAAGCACTCTACCACTGAGCTACAACCCTAGCCCCTAAAGATTCACTCATTAAAATTAAAAACTTCACTCATTAAAATTAAAAAATCTCTGCTAGGGCTGGGAATGTGGCTCAAGCGGTAGCGTGCTCGCCTGGCATGCGTGTGGCCTGGGTTCGATCCTCAACACCTCAAACAAAGATGTTGTGTCCGCCGAAAACTAAAAAATAATAAATATTAAAATTCTCTCTCTTTAAAAAAAAACTCTGCTATAAGTAGATAGGTTATATATATATATATATGGCATGTATATGTGCATATATATATATATATATATAAAATCATACATATATATCTTAAAAGTAAACATTCACAGGTCAAGGTTATACAGAGAATATACCTGTAACAATGTTTTAACACCAGAGAGTTTCATTTTCATGTTTCTTGGATGAGGAATACAATAAAGAAAGATGCTGAGTTTTAATGAAAGTTCTGCATTTCTTCTCTTTCAGATTTGTCAATCCAAGATATGGATTGTTAACCCACAAATAAATTCTATGACCCAGCAGTCACAAAACTGACTAGGAAAAAAAAAAAAGGCCAAATTAATCTCAGAAAAAATACTAATTTTTTTTTAATAATATAAAAACTAAACTTTGGTGTTTTTTGTTTTGGGGTTTTTTTGTTGTTTGCTTGTTCATTTGTTTGGTACCAGGGATTGAACCCTGGAGCACTCAACTACTGAGCCACATCCCCAGCCCTCTTTATTTTTCATTTTGAGACACAGCCTTTGCTAAATTGCTGAGGCTGGCTATGAATTTGCAATCCTCCTGTCTTGGGCCTCCTAACCCACTGGGATTACAGGCGTGCATCAACACACCCAAAAAACTAGCATCAACACACCCAAAAAACTAGAGTTTAGAAGAGAAGATATGAATACCTCCTACTAAATGTTGATTGCAGCTATATTCCTATCAGTTCTTAAGTTCTGCTGATATTTGAAATATGTGAAATGCAGGCATTTTCTTGGACATGGACAATCTTTAACAAAAAGGGATGGAAAGGCAAACTTAATGGGTAAATGAAAAACACCCAGGTCAAGCCATCCAGCTATAACCAGGAAGCAGTGCTTACAAAGGAGTGCGCAAGGAACACCTTCCCAGCAACGCATGGGCAGAGGGGACCTCCTGTCAATCAGGGGTCCTGTGTTGATAGGGACAGCGGAGGTAGGGCTAGTCCAGGAGGATGAAGCCTGCTTCAGGAGCCCTCATCTAAATCAGGGACCACGTGCATTTCCATCTCTTCCAGTCTCTGGTAAAGTGCAGCTTCCCGTTGCTGCTCACATATTCAGCGAAGTACCTCCACCTACTCAAATCTTAAACATAGAAACAAGGGCCTACAAAATGGTATTTTAATTTCTGTCAGAACCAAAGCCACTCTCATCTGAATAAGGCAGTTACAGCAGCACTAGGCACAGGAAAAGAACAGTACCATCCCCAACTCCTACTAGCCAATTAGCATAAAACGCGACACAAACCTATTTGCAGACTCAAAACCACGAGAACAGCACCACCTAGCGGCACAATGAAGCGCTGCATGTGAGAAACTGGAGGCTCATCTCAAGGCGGCCAATGTGATTTCTCATCATTAAAATCAAAGATCCCAGTAAAATATCTTCCACCAGACTGGAAATTCTAAACTAGAAGTTGACCTCCTAGGAGTCTAACAACCAAGCTTAGATAATCAAATGCCATTCATATTTTCTAGGTAAATGACATAAGGTTGCCAAATAAAAAACAATATGCACTCCATGCAATATTTAGGATGTACTTTTACTAAAAAAAAAAAAAAATTCACTGTTTATATAATATTAAAATTAAATTGGGCATCCTGTATTCTTATTTGCTAAATGTGATAACCCTATGCCTCCTATACTCTGAACAATCCCTACCCCCAAAGTATCCACCCCAGAGACCAGAGATTCATTTACACAACTATGTCTTTCCATTCATTCTAAGAGGCAATCCCCATCATTGGCAAGTGAGCAGGGTGATTACCCCTGGCAAGGGGCAAGGAAGACACTCAGCTCCATGATGCAAAAGACAAACAGGGAAAAGGAGGCACAAGGGTTGAAAGGAGGTTCTAGAAAGCTGGATCAAAGAATGGAAACACCAAATGTCAGATGGGTAGAAAAAGATGGAGAAGAGATGAGCAATTCTAAAAGAAAAGGAGAGAGGAGAACTAATGACACTTGCTTCTTGGCCATTTGACCTAGTCAAAGCTGCTCCTGACAGTCTAAGGACATCACTGCTGATATTTCCCCCTGAGACATACAGTATGGATGAGCTGGGGCTTGGAAAGGTTAAGGTCAGAAAACCTTCATTGTCAAGAAGCCACACCACCATCAACTGTCCAGGCCCAAGCAATCCTTTCTTTCTTTAGGAAGGGGTTATTAAAATGGGTTCATGATGCAGTTTTCTAAAATTAAAAACCATTGTTTTCTAACTCATTAGGTAATTGTTTTACGTTATTTTCTGGGTTTCGGTCAGCGGCTCCCATGAGCTCCAAGACTACGCAGCCCTCGCACACACCTTTGCAGTGAACCGCAATCGCTCCTTCGGTGTTCTCACAAATGTTCAGGAACCTTCTCACGATGTTGTCGCTGGGTGTGCTGCCGTCTATGAAGAAGAGGTCATAGTGCTCGAAGCCGGCGTCTGTGAAGCGCTTCGCCTCATAAATCTTTTTGTTCAGCCTCACAACTGCAGTTACGTTATGCTTTTTGAAATATGGGAAGTAGGCTTCAGGAGCATGAAGAGGGTAACCTAAAGGGAAAAGGAGCCGTAAGCAGAAGGCATGCACTTCATCTTACATAACCCAGACACACACCCTCAACAACAAAGTGCAGAAATCACAATAGAGCACAGAAGAAAGCATGTTTCACAAGAGTGTAAAAGGTTCCAGAAGCTTGTAAAAGCCGTCTGTGTAACTGTAAACATCAGAGGAGGTTAAAACAAAAACCCTCTCTAAGTATTGAGACAACTCATTAAAGTTCAAAATCTCAACCTCTAGTAGGATTCCAATCCTGGGAACACATGTACTCCTCCCATCCCCAAAGCAAAGGCATTCTTGAAGTACTCAAATGTGCACAAAAGAGATGGGTTGATTCTTGGTGATTTTATTTCCCCTCAAATGTTATTTTTCACTTAACAAATCCATTTCAGCTTCCGCTAAAACTTTTTTAAAACATATTTATCTTTTAGTTTTAGGTGGACACAATAGCTTTATTTATTTTTATGTGGTGCTGAGGATCGAACCCGGTGCCTCACAGCATGCCAGGCCAGCACGCTACCACTTGAGCTACATGCCCAGCCCAAGCTAAAACTTTTTTTTGCCAGATGTATAGCTTTCATCTATAGAGCACAATCCTCCACAGAATAGATCTGTGATCAGAAAGCACCTTCCACATACAAGCCACAGTTGTATATAATTTCTCTTTTAATTCTAAAAACAACCTGTAAAGGATGGTTAACCCCATTTAACAGATTAAGACACTAAAAGCTGAGGATACAAAAATTCAGTTAAACAGGAGGAATAAGTCCAAGAGATCTATTGTACAACATGGTGTCTATAGTTAATAACAAGGTACTGGACACTTTAAAGTCACTAAGGGTAGATTTTAAGAGTTATCGCCACACAAAAAAATGATAAATATGTGCGGCAATGTACACATTAAACTTGACTTAGCTGATGTACACTATTTTAAAACATCATATTGCATATCACAAATACACAAAATTTTGTCAGTTTAAAATATAAATAATTTTTACCTTGAAAAAAGAAGCTAAAAGAGGAACTCTTTGGTGAACATTTTCTGTTTGGGGAGGGGGCCACCTGAGATACTAAATTTCCAAACTCCCTGGCAATGTCCACCACCATGTGAGCAATCCTGGGAGCCACAGAATCAACTGAGTCACAGACCAGACCTAGTCAAGGCCAATCAGCCGAGGTGACCAGTGAAGGCTTTGGCCACTGCAGGCCTTGCCTAGCAGCCCTAAGGGTTAAGAGGGCTAATCCCCAGCACACTGATTCCCACATCTGTAACCCATCAAGGGCCCACTGACTCATGGCACACCAGCTAAGTGAAATGACTTCATTGTAAATGGGGCTCCAAGGCAGCAGCAGGAGCAGCCTGCAAAGCCAGATGGCTTCTGCACTGTTTCTTTGGCTGTATTTTCTGCTGCCTTGGATCTTGTGCTTGTCCTTTTCATTTTCTCTCAGCTCCAAGCCAACCCTGCACCATGAGGCGGGGGCTCAGGCCCACATATTGTCTTTCCCAGACGACCTATCTAGATGGACTTCTGTTGATTCTAAAAATAGGAGGCACTCAAGGGCAACCAGGAAAGGGCCTTCTTCCCGTTCTCCCATCAGCATCACATCAGCAACCAAAGAAGAGAGCAGCCAGAGCTCCCAACCCACTGTGGCACTCCCAGGACTAGCCTGCTGCACTCTCCTCAGGACCAGAGCCCAGCCTTCTGGTCTCTACTCCTCAGTCTCCAGTCCAAACAGTACTGTGGAGCATGACCTCCACGGGTCTGAGTTCCAGTCATCTGACTCCTCCCTCAATGCTCCCAGGCTCTGGTAGTTCCACTTTCTCCCCCCAGTCCCAACCTTCAAGGTACTAGCTGTCTTTTGCATAATATCTAGATTCTACAATGTTGCCTATTTTATTGTTTAGACTACTTTGTAACAGACTCCAGGAGTTAAATTCCTTCTGTTTGGAGTACCCAGTGTGATTCGCATTTCCTACCTGGACCCTGCAGATACACCGTCTCCCAAGGATCTTGTGGGTTTTCTAAACTTAGTTCCCAGCTTTCTCTTGGAGTCTGTGAGCTACCCAACATATACTGATAAATGCCTTTTTAGTTTAATTTACCATAGTTGACTCTACTGTCTGTAACCAAGTTCCCTAATTGGAAGACTTTGCCAAGGTCACAAAAAATGGAAGCAGAATTGGAATCCAGGCCTAACTAATCCTAACTCAAATGCATGATTCTCATAGGCCATGCTGTTATTGAACAAAGAGGAAACAGAGATCATTTAACATCTTCTGTGTAGAAACAGCAACTTGTACACACACACATGAAGAGAAAACACGTGCTCTTCTACTTGGAAAATCAAGTCTGTTTTCCTAGTTGGTTTATTTACTCAAATTATTTCCTAGCAACAAGTTTACAGACTAAGTGGGAGAAGAACCCTGGTTGGCATGAGGAAATAAGAGCTTTTCTATCATGCAAGGAATGAGAAGTAGAGGGACTCCAAACACCTGGGGAGTTTTTCCTAGGTATGGTAAGCCAATGGGAGCCTGTCTTATTCCTGGAATTCCTTTTACCTCTGTGATGGCACTTCCTGGCTTGATGCCCATCCCTTCCTCTGTACAATCAAGATGTAAGAATCTCTTTTCTTACATGAATTTCTGTCAGGAGTAAATGAAGGTTTAGCTAATACATCAAAAACACACTATGAAAAAGAAATGATGGATATCTTTTGAGAAATGGACATAAAACACAACTATAAAAAATGACAACAGACATTTAAATACTAATCATAATCACACCTATTATTTATTGAGCACTTATAATGTGCCAGGCACTATGCTGAGTGTTCCATGTGGATTATCACACTAAACCCTACAATTACTCAGATTACTGGTGCCTGGAAAGCTAATTGGGTCCATGCACACACAGGTTGTAAGAGATAGCATTTGGACCCTGGAAGAAAGATTTCAACATCTGTCCTGAAGCTGGTTTTTTGTAAGTCTCAACTTGACTCCATCTGTAAGACCTCCAAACCAGAGAACATGACATGAGTATTAGGAGCTGTACTTCCTAGAGTTGGTGAGCAGGATTTTGGTTTTGGTTTTGTTTAATTCTTAAAACTGCTTCAAATTACTTACAGACAACTAATAATGAAGATATCCCATGACCTCTCAGCAAAGGTGTGTGAGTGATCAATGTATTTGGATGCTTAATGTGAAATGCTCCCTGGGAGTCCTGCAGCCCACCCAGAAAGCTAGAGCGTTCATCCAACCCTGGCTGCATCTGGCCACTAGGTGGTGCCCTGGCGTCAGCGAGGCACAGGCTCAGCCCAGCAGTGGTGCTGGCACAACACAGAAACAACTTCAGAGCTGAAGATGATTTTAAAATTCACCTCTTTCCAGCCACTCATTTTAAAGTTGTGAAACTAAGAACAGCAGAGTCAAATGTGGACTAGTCAGCCCACCTAGTCATTATTAAAAGTAAAAACTTCAAAAGGAACAAGGTAATGTCAGAAAATATAAAATGCTGATGAGGTTCATTAACCAGTGAAGTCCCAAATGTTCAATTCTGCAAATATTTCAACAAAATTGACACAGGTGCATAAAACAGGTTGGAAAGTATAATATAGAGCTTACATATCTTTTATATATTTTCATATGTATATAGAATTTTTTTTCAAATGCTCTCATCATTCACCCATTACTTTTCTCAAAAGAATAGGCCTCTGAAAACAATAATTATTTCATAATTCCCATGAGTGGTATATTTGTGGTTCAATTTAAGTGTTCATTAGTATTCTACATCCAGGATGATGGGAAAAAAGAGTTAAAGATGGAAATGCACTAATAAGAGCATAATGTGTACCTGACATGGTCAAACCATTCAAATAATATTCCCAATCCTCAGCAAGCACCCTGAATGTGATCAAACTTCACTCATTGTGATGTATAAGGAAACTGATGGTTCCAGAAGTTGTGGATCTCACTGAAGTTCACACAGCCAATAAGGGATCGAGGAGCCAAGCTTCAACCTGCCCAGGGTCTTTACACCAGTCTGCTCTCATTAAAAGAGCAAGCTGATACTTCAGATTGCTCGGATTCTGCTTCTTATTCCACCTCTACACCACTTCCCCATCCATGAGTGTGTGTGTGTGTGTGTGTGTGTGTGTGTGTGTGTGTGTGTGTATTTAAATGACATTACCACTTAAAAGACTTTGTAAATCTGAAATCTAAAATATCTGTTTCATTCTCCTGCTATCATACATCAATTCAAAATTGTTAAATAGAAAAAAAAATAGCATTCTTCTTTCCCCACTATGAAAACAATGTGAACCAAGATGGCTGAGTGAGCCTGCTAGTTCCCTCTGTTGACACAAACACCCTGAACACTCATAAAATGCATTCTGGCCCTTCCCTAGAACGAACGTAGAGCTTCCTTTTGCTACATCCTAGCAACAGCTATTTGATTGTTAATTCCTCAAAAATCTCAGCTTTTCTACTAACAAACTCCTAAAATGACCTTCAGAAATATAGAGTTTCTCAAAATTTTAATTGAAAAAAAAAATCTAAGGAATGTACCAAGATCTAACTGTAATCGGATCAATTTTATTAATTCCCACACAGACTTATTTTAAATTCAAAAGTGTTTACAAAGTTAAAACCCTTCACCAAAAAAATGTTGAAGCTTCTAATGAACACCAGATGTTAAAATGGGGATTTCAGTAAAATATCAGCATTTTACCAAAGACAATCTTAAATGAAATTGTTCTAGGCATCTTAAAAACCAACAAATTAAAGTAACACTGTCAGACCTTTTTCTCAATGAGAGGACACAACTGCTATAAAGCACTTTCCTCAGGTACATAGGGAAAAAAGGTGTATACAGAGCAATATCTTAACAATAGTTATTTCTTGCTTATATAGTTTTAAGAGTTTTAGTCTTCATCTGTATTGCTAAACTATTCTATAGTAAACATGTACATTCTCTGTAATAAAATTTAAAAGATTTAATTTGTAATTAAAAAGACCTATATTTGAGTCGTCCCACAGCCTGATATTGGCTGCATGAACCCGGACAATATGTAACTCTCTTAAGTTTCCTTGTCTTCCATAAACTAACCATCACCTGCTACAGATGGTAGGTCACTGAACAGCTGATATGTACAAGAGGCTTAGCACCATTCCTGGCATATAACCAAGTGGCATCCATTATTCTTTCCCCATATTACAATATGGAACCAAAAAAAACTTTTTTTAAGATTTTTTAAATTAAGAATTATACTCAATCCCCAGCACCAAAAACATTACATAAAATATACATCTTCTTTTATTCAGTGGTTCTATTTCTAATAATTCAGAGAGGAAACTAGAACTATAAAATATGAAAGAATAGGTACACCAACCATAGCAGTTTGGGGGGGGGTTTGTTTGTTTTTGTTTTGTTTTATTGGGGGGGGGGTGCTGGAGATTGAACCCACAGCCTTGTGCATGCTAGGCAAGCACTCTACCAACTGAGCTATATCCCCAGCCCCATAACAGTTTTTTAAACAACTTTTATCTCACTTAAAATAAATTAACAAAATTATGACCCAGTCATAGACTGGAATAATAGACAATGCAGTCATCCAAAATGACAGCAGAGATCTATATACACTGCCATGGAAAACATCTATGACTGTTAAGTGAAAAAAAAGCTAGCTATGAGATGATAATTATGATCCTATTTTGGTAAAAAAAAATTATAAATGTGTGTTTATGCATAGACATATACAATGTATATCTACACTGAGAAAGTAAGTTAAGAGAAGCAGATGGAAGAAATTAAAAAGCAACTGTAATTCCAACTACCAATTAGTAAAACTAGTAAATGTGGGTAGAATTACAGGTCACTTTTATGCTCATTAGTCAATCTGCATTTTCTCCACTCTTTTTAAAATAAGCATGTATTAGCTCTATAAAAATACTTTAAAAGAACTTTTTAAATTATACCTCCCAACTCCTCTGTAAGAAAAACTGAAACACATGAATCCCAAATGGCAAAATTCTTTCAACTTTGCCAAATACGCAACAACAAAGCCACTACTCAAACAGAACATCTACTGAGGTTTCCTGGGCCTGAATCTAATACTTTTTCACAGAAGTAGGTTTAATCAGCCCTGTCTTGAACAACCAACTGTTGTTATAAAGCACTTTCCTCAGGTACTCCATGTGTTATTCCTAACAACCCAACATGACGTAGGCTAATTAATCAATGTACAGAGCCAAATGAAAATCCTTAGCCAATTCATGACTCAGAAGATCTAATTCTGGCTTCTCTATAGAGATCCCTGTTAGTTTAACTCTAAACCTGGATTACTTATCCACAGAATGGGGGGAAAACCATGATTCACGCAGGACTTCCTGCAAGGTGGTAACAGATATGAAATGATGAACATACTTTGTAGAAATAAAAACTACTATCAAATCCAAATACATGAATAATAATGAAACTAGATTTCAGAAGTGGTGATGATGAGGAGGATGATGATGATGAAGATGATGTAAGAAGAGTAAATCTAGATAAGAGGTTTCAAATTAGGTTCCCAAGGAAAACTGATACACTCTACCCCTATGACCAGAAAGTAAATAGGAGTTATTGTGTTCATGGATAACATTTTTTTCTTCAATTTTATGTACTTCTCTTACGAACTAATCTTAAACCATTGGTGTCTATCATTACATATCACCTAAGTGATGTTAAGACGTGGAAAAATATGAGTAAGTAGAAAACAAGTATTAATGGCAAATTTCACATAGCTAATCATGTTGCATTCAAGAGGTATGTTTTGTTTTGTTTTCATTTTACTGAATACATATGCCCAGTGCTGTAAATGAGTAGTTTAATTACTATCAGAAAATCTGTACTCTTTGTCTCAAAGAAACCAAGTAGATAGTACAGTGGTGATATTCAGGAGCCCAGTTCTGAGTTGGAGTACCAGTTCTTCACACTTCTAGGTGACCCTGGACAAATCCCCACCAAGAAGATGCCATTTCTTCCTCCTTAGGTGTGGATCACAAAATCTACATCTAAGAATTATTGGATATTAACTGAGATGATGCTAGAAACTATCATGCAGTAAGCACTAAACAAATATCGCCATCATCACCCAACATGACACTCCCCAAGAATACCTTGGGGATTCTCTACAGCCAAATGAATCTGAAAAAACATTTATAGAATTCAGCAATCTGTTTAGTGGTGTAACCAGTTTGTTTCTCAAATTCTTCTTTAATGACTGGATAAAGAAAACATTCTATTTATGGCAACCTAAAAAAACATGCTTGTTTTAAAAGAGTGGATATAGCTCCACCTACTGGAAGTTTAACCTTCAACACACTTGTTGCTATTCAATTTTATACATCCTAAATAGTCTGCAGAATATTACCAAGAGAAAGTGTTATCTGAGGAAATTGAAAAATTAAAGAAGAGTAATTAAAATAAATGTTTGGAGGGTAAAAGGAAGAAAAACCTACCATTTTCAATTTTGCTTTTAGGATGTGGTCCACTAAATGCTAAAAATTTTCCTGGAACAATCCAGTTGAAGTCACCATTTTCAACTCGCTGGCAGAATTTTGTGAGAAAAGAGAAGAAAAATATTTTATAATTCTTATACAATTTAGGAAACCCTTACAAATAAAACTGCTTTTCCTACTATTAGTATTAGACCAATTGGACATAACATGAAAACAAAGTAATAAAACGTAAAAACATACATCTGATTCTCAAAATGGTTATTTATGAATTTCATTCACTTGAGGAATTCTTCTATCTAGACTATGAACAGTTTAGGCTGTATGGAAAGTTAGTTTATTTAAGGTGTGGTACTTTGTTTTAAATAAGTTTGTCTCCTAGTCACTCTGAAATAAAATTAAATGAAAATAACATTGTTATCCTAGCAATAAATTAAAGAAGTAAGAAAAAAAATGAGAGATACAAGCATTTCCATGAACATGATAAACGGACTTTAAACAATGAAAAAAATATGAATGTCAGGTTTATGATGAACACATTTTTATGGGCTGATGTCTGTTGTTGATTCTAATTTGAAGACCATGAAATGGCAGGAGGCAGAAGGGAGGGACAGAAACTCATTAAATCCTAGAGGTACACCACAAGCCAGGGTCAGTCAAGGTTTCCTTCAGGGGCTGCAAACCCAAACAAGGGTTAGCAATAAAAGTGGCTGCTCCTCCACTCAACCTAATTAGTCACCCTGCAGGAAATTTGAGTGTGGCTAACCTTCCAACCTATTTTTAAGTGAGATCTGCCTTTGAAATAGTAACTTTTATTTTCGTTTTATTTTATTTATTTGCAGTACTGGTACCTGAACCTAGGGACACTCTACCACTGAGCTACATCCCCAGATCTTTTTTTATTTTTTTTTTAATTTTGAGACAGGGTCTCTTGCTACATTGCCAAGACTGGCCTTGAACTTGGATCCTCCTGCCTTCACCTCCCAGATCTCTGGAAAATGTTGATTATTTTAAATTAGGTTTTTAAATACTTTGGGCTGACTGATCATCAGTTGTCATCCTCTAGGCTGTACACTCTAAGGAATACTCAGATTTAAGACCAAGAAAGAGGCCAACCACCCTCTACCACACCATCAGCCCCTCCATTTTCTTTTCTTCCCTCTGAACCCGTGGACACCAGGACAGGGCTAAGGTTACCCAGGACAGTGCAGGCAACTGGGAGACACTGTGCAATCCATCGTATTGCCTCTTCGCTGTCTTCTCTACATTCCACTCCCACCCCACCTCCCTAGTCTCCAATCTCAGGACAGGGAAATAACATGGTTCTCTTCAAGGGGCACACATCTGTGTCTATCTATATAAAAGGCTGGAGAAGATGACCTCAGTAATAGGAACCTGAGCTAAGTAAGAGTCTGCATGCTACTGTAAGAACTCAATAAATATTTGTTAACTAAATTAGAATAATATCATCAAGGAGATCTGGTGCCACTACTTATATTACCTATTACATTACCACTTCCATGAAAATCAAAAGTTGGCTATACATTTTCATTTTTAAAATGAGGATGTATCTTTTCAATTATACAAAGTTACAAATGAACCTTTACATGATATCCTGCTATGTCAGCATTGCATTAATCTAATTGTAATAACATAATATCTCTCTAATGCCCTAAGTAAAAGCTTAGCAACACCATGAATGTCACAATACATATGCATGGCTATCTATTTATAATCATTTGAATAAAGAATCAAACATACAACTCTTATGATAATTAAACATTAATTCTTGTTTAAATAAAAGTTTCAAATTAATGATCCAATATCCATTTTGAGCAATTATTAAGGCTAAAGCATACATTAAAAATTCAAGAGTAAGGGTATGTTCTAATCAAAAGTCTAAACTTAGCTCTCAGGAACAGTAGAAGAAATCCAGTTTCCACATTCACTATTTCTGTGTCCTTGTATACCAACTAGGCAGATAAATAAATTGTGCTATATCTGTTTATTTGGACTACAGACATCTGCTTGGTTAAACAGTAACCTTTTATAATCAATCATATAGGAGACAGGCCATAACCTCTCAGAATCAAAAGACTATGTTTGCAAATTTTCCTATCCAAAAAGATAAACATTAGATAATATTGGGCTATATTTAGCAGCCTGGATGAAGTTGATAGAATAAGTAACAGATTAAGATTTTAGATCTTAAAAAAAAATTAATAAGAAAGATACAACTTTTAGCTAACCTAACATAAGCTTACCTGGGGTGACCTTCCAAAATTAATATATGTGTCTCCTTTCACAGTGAATTATACCAATGCTAATATGTATCAATAATAGAACGTTTAAAATAATATAAGTTGGTTTTTCAAGCAAACACACATACCCACTTCAAAGAAACCTAGATCAGACAGGAACTCAAGGTACTTTCCAACACTACCACATTTTATAAAGAAACTTTGAAGCAAGGATGAGGTAAGAGTAGGATTTAGCCTTTTCTAATATAAAGTCACCACCTATCAAATACTATGTAGAAAATCTATACATGTTCTACACTATGAGAAAACCCCAAAACACAATGTGAATTCCTGAAACTGATACATTTAGGTGCTATTATTAACTTTACTGTAGGAGCTTTCAGTCCACAAAAGATTCAACAGATTTCTTTTGAATAGCTAACTCTCCTGGTGCACTTAAAATATAATTTGCTTTGAAAGCACAGATTTTTACAACTTCTCAGAAATACATCTGTGCCTCTGTTGTAACAGTCACAAATATTTTCCCCTTAAATATTTAAAAATATTTGGCTTATTTGCCATTGTTATAAGCCTGCAGTTTTTAAAAAAAAAAAAAAAAGTCCTGAAGTTGACAAATAAGAGACTGATTCCTTTTATTGATGTGATTTCTCAGATAACATAAATAATTTTGAGCACAATTAAACATTCACTCAAATATTTACTGAACTAATCTCTAGGGTATATAAAGAACTCAAAAAGCTAAACACTGAAAAAACAATAACCCAATCAACAAATGAGCCAAGGACCTGAACAGATACTTCTCAGAAGAGGATATACAATCAATCAACAAATATATGAAAAAATACTAATCATCTCTAGCAATCAGAGAAATGCAAATCAAAACTACTCTAAGATATCAGCTCACTCCAGTCAGAATGGCAGCGATTATGAAGACAAACAACAATAAGTGTTGGTGAGGATGTGGGGGAAAAGGTACATTCATACATTGCTGATGGGACTGCAAATTGGTGCAGCCAATTTGGAAAGCAGTATGGGGATTCCTTGGAAATCTGGGAGTGGAACCACCATTTGACCCAGCTATTCCCAAAGGACCTAAAAACAGCATACTACAGGGACACAGCCACATCAATGTCTATAGCAGTACAATTCACAAATAGCCAAACTATGGAGCCAACCTAGATGTCCTTCGGTGGATGAATGGATTAAAAAAATGTGGCATATATACACAGTGGAATTTTACTCAGCATTAAAAAAGAACAAAATCATGGCATTTGCAGGTAAATAGATGGTGTTGGAGAAGATAATGCTAAGTGAAGTTAGCCAATCCAAAAAAAACAAATGCCGAATGTTTTCTCTGATATAAGGAAGTTGACTCATAGTGTGGTATGGAGGGGAAGCATGGGAGGAATAGATGAATTCTAGATAGGGAAGATAGGTGGGAGGGAAAGGAAGGGGGCAGGGGATTAGCAAGGATGGTGGAATGTAATAGACATCATTATACAAAGTACATGTATGAAGACTTGAATTGGGTATCAGCATACTTTATATACAAACAGAGATTCAAAAATTGAGGTATATATGTATATTAAGAATTGTAATGCAAAAAAACAACAAAGTATGTGTATAAAGGCATAAATTGATGTGCACATACTTTATTACAAAGATATGAAAAATTATGCCCTATATGTGCAATAAGAATTGTAATGCTTTCCACTGCTGTCCTGTATTTAAAAAATAATAATAAAAAAGTGTTTGCTGAGTCTTTATTAAATATCAAGGACTACAACTTAGTGTCACATAAAATAATAAAAAGCATTTTCTCTGTTCTTTTAAGGAGTCAAAAGACAAATGGAAGTAACAGTAACAGCAGCAAACACATACAGACCTGACTCTGTGCCACTCACTTACTCTACACAGCAACACTATGAGGCATTTTATCCTTTAAAGAAGAGTTGTACTAAATTTTGATAAATGTCACCACAGAAATACACAAGAGGTTGGCACAAAGACTCTTTTTAAAAATCAAGAGAGAACTACAAAGTCTGTTTTTAAATTCATTTTGAAAGTGCACCCTTTATATTTACCTAATTTCTAAAACAATTAATTCGTGTTGACAGTGTAGTTGTACTACATAAAGGTGAATATGCTGTCGAGATGGGCCCTTTATGAGCTTAAAGCCAAGTAAATATTTGAGTTGTTTGGTTTAAATTAAGTTTCCATGCACTTTGGCTTTAAGTGATAAACTTTAGTTTATTAATTTAGATCTGACTTTGAGAGAGACGGTGTGGTGGAGGGAAAGAGGAGTGTCCCGTGTGGATGATTACTTCATCTCTGCTAGCCATGGCTGGAGGAGGGAGACAGCTTCAGGGCTGGCGGGTTGCTCCAACAGTCCAGACCAGTGAACACCTCCGCTGATAAAACAGCAGCAAAACTGCAGGGCACGTTTGCTGACGCCATTGTCAAGACATGAAGGTCTGGGGACAGCAGCACACATATATATGGTTGCTGAAGCTCAAATGCAGGTTCTTTCAATCGTGAAATGTGTGCATACCAGAAATCATGAGGCCCCCAGGAGAGCAAAGTACTGGAGTGACCAAATGCAGAGAAAGGGCTGGCAAGACAGGTTAAGAAAGAAGACCAGAGGGAGAAATGCAAGAGACAGTATGCTCCTCGGAAGTTAGAGTAGGAAGGTAAGTTTCCAGAATTAGAGAGTGGCCACAGGGCAAATCAAATAGGAAGAAGACCGAAGCGCCGCCATTTGTTTTTCTCGCTTCTGTGTTGCAACAGTTTCAGTGGAATTATGAGGGTATAAGCCAGACCATAATTAGCT